ACGGGGATTCGAACCCGCGACCCTCAGATTGCGATTCGAGTGCCGTAACCACCTGACCATGCCGGGCCAGTTCCGTTAGAGAAAAACAATTACACCACAACTCCAAGTATAAAGACACTTCCTGGAATCGACAGGGTGAAGTGTCTAGAGTTGATTGAATACCCGAAAATCATCTATCACAACAGACTGCTTTACTTTATCTTTCAAGATAAAGGTATTGTTCAGTGAAACTCAAGATCTAGGGTTTTGTACACCATGCCAAGTTGTTATAAATAGTGTTGATTCTTTTAAAATATACTTTACAAGTTTTGTTGATATGGATCACTTTGTATACACTGTACAACTTAAATAAACATCGATTAAAGCGCTAGCTGATCAATGTACATCCAATTTCTGTATGAAAATGCTATATTTGTATATAATAAGTATATAATAAAGTTAGTGTATGTTGAAAGTCAGAATCAGGTAGAAATCAACTATCTCTAAAATGTTTTTGTAAGAAGAAATTAGGTCCAGAGCTGGAATAGTGGTTGTTTTAAGATTAGCTAGTTGTTTTAATGAGTAGAGTACTGGAGAATGCTTGAACAAGCAAGTTTTTTACAATGCGTTTATTTGTACTTGTCCAATAATTCGTTCCGTTTTCATTTATTAATTCGTCATTTGTCAATCCCTGTGTATATCAGCATGTTGAAATGTGTGTTTAATCGATACATGGACATAATGTCTATCTTCGTACAGGCGTCCATAATTTTGACTGATAGATCAGAGGGAAGGCAGCAAGTCAACAGCGCCCACCACTAATTTTTGGGGCTACTTTTATCTGACGGAACAGTGGCATTTGAACATAATTATTATAACGCACATACGGCCCTTATGTGCGGAGCGCATTTTGGGTGAACGAAGAGTGCACCCTGAATCTTTAGATTCACAGTTCGAGAACGATAGCCATTAGGCCACTCATGAATCTGAGTTTAACTTCATGCTTGTAGCGTGTATTGTAAACCAATGTTTCAATTTATGGTGATTTTTTTATTCAAACCATGCTAATAACACCTCGTGCCCAATCTTATAGAATTCATTGTTTCTACCAATAAATATAGGTGCTAATGTTCGATCATATTAGCCATGTTGACAGGTAAGACGCTAAACATCTTTTGGGTATTTCTTGTTGAAAAGTACATCCTGGTATGATCGACGTTTATTAAGCATCAAGGTGATACAAATATAAACATTATAAATTCTTACTTCCATTATTCTACAAAACGCACTCAGCCAATGGCTGTGAGCGTGTGTGTGGGCTGTCTGTTCTCTGCCCACCACTGGTATCGAAACCCGGTTTCTAGTGTTGTAAGCCTGCAAACATACCGCTGTGCCACTGGGGGGTCAGTCAAATCAAAGCAACGTTAATAATAAGACGCGAGTGTTTTAAAAGTAATTAACAGGTCGATACAACACCGAAGACAGTGGAGAAGTCGATTTTAGTAATCAGTTTTCATTGAGAAAGTGTGGACCGCAGTAGAGGAGTCGTCATTTATAATACATATTCATAATCATTAACTACCCTCGACAATGTTGGATCACCTTAACATTAATAATCTTAAAAAAATTATTAATCAATCTTTGGCAATAGAAAAAAAGTCCAATCATTTTGGATGACCTCTTCATTATTGGCGGTGTGCACAGTGAAAATTGACCATCAGAATCATAAATCAATTTCTTACCATTTCTCTGGCACTATAATAAGTCCAGACATGCTAGGTGAACGCATTACAATTTGTGGAGTGCCCATTCGCAACTGACCAATCAGGATCATGTGAGCATTTTACGACGAATATTGGGCCGGGCGTGGCATATTGGTTAACGTGACTGAACTGTGAATCTGAAAATTTAGGATTATTTAAGTTAACCACTTCAGAGTTCTCAGGCTAAAAACATTAACTGAAATTTTTA